TACCGAAGTCGAACCGTGGCCTAACTCGCTCTAACAGACAGACTAAGTTTTTCGATTTGGTTATTATGTTGTCGTTCTCAACCGTTCAGAGGATTTCATTTGGACGCGAATAGCCACTGCGAAGGTATTTTTTCCCTTCCGGTCGTCTGCAGTTTCTATCGGTCGACCGCAACCGAGCCGAGACCTAACCCGGCAACCGCTGTGTTAGGTTATTTCTGGACAGTATTGTAGGACACGTTTAAAGATTTCTCCGACACGTCTTTCTCTCTTTTATGCATGAAATCAATATTCAGAATAATTTTGTTGGTTCAAACAAATCTAAAGCCTAATAAAAACGGCTTCAACAACGTACACACGGAAATTGTTGTAAATTCTTCAACTGATCAGGCGCCAGGCGGCTTAGGTATTTAATCGGCGAGATGTTCTGTTAATTGCCGCATTTATAAATACAAAACTCTCTTGTTTTATGCAGGCCACTCTGCCAATTGACAAATCGAAGTGATGCTATCTATGAAGTGATATAATTTACATTGAAGTAGCAAACTTTGCGTTTTAAATACTATATACACTAAAAGAGTTGATTTGGATGGAAATTAAAACCGTGGAATGAAATTTAAACAGATCGCCGCATGTTTCATTTCAAAAATGTGTCCATGCAATGACCATAAATTTAACGTTGGTGTGAGTTGACTTTCGTATGCAACAAAATTTTTTTTAACATAGTTTCACACATATATATCGCTTTCCCAAGTGTCGCTGTAAATACTAAATACATTCACCTAGACATTATTTTAGTTGATACTGACATTCATCATCATCCATGATATCTCAAACGACATGCAAATCATGCTAAATAAAAGCCGAATGATAACAAGTTAAACAACACGAAAATTGTTGTTGAAATACCTCAACTGATCATGCTGATTATATTGGTATATGAGTTATTTGACCGAGATTTAGCTGTGTTTAACTACAAAACTTCATTGACCAACACAGGCGACGCTATCTGTTAAGTATAGGCTAAGTTACATGATGTTAAAATCAAGTAGAAAGCCTTAAATTGTGGGAGAAAATTTAATAGCTAAAGCCTGCATTGAAACTCCACTCCACATAAATGTGTCGAGTGAGCAAAGCTTGAACAAATACAGGTTTATGTATCGGTCTAGCTATCTTGAAATGTATAGCTTCCAAGAATATAGGTAGCAAAAAACGTTTATGCATATGTTAAGCAATGACTGGCCTAATTAATAATCGGTTATTTGACTTATTTCCTTCAGCATCGCAAAAAAATTGGCTTATGTTTGTACTTACAGACATGCATGAAGTATAATTATACATCATCGAGTGACATGAATAATATATATACCTAGGTCGAACTGTGGCCTAGCTCGCTCTAACAGACATTTTTTAAGTTTTTCGATTTGGTTATTATGTTGTCGTTCTCAGCCGTTCATAGGATTTCATTTCGACGCGAACGGCCACTGCGAAGGTATTTTTTCCTTCCGGTCGTCTGCAGTTTCTATGAAGATTTCTCCGACACGTCTTTAATTCTCTCTTTTATGCACGAAATCAATATTTAGAATAATTTTGTTGGTTCAAACAAATCTAAAGCCTAATGAAAACAGCTTCAACAACGTACACACGGAAATTGTTGTAAATTCTTCAACTGATCAGGCGCCAGGCGGCTTAGGTATTTAATTGACCGAGATGTTCTGTTAATTGCTGCATTTATAAATACAAAACTTTCTTGTTTTATGCAGGCCACTCTCCCAATTGACGAATCGAAGCGATGCTATCTATGAAGTGACGTAATTTATATTCAAGTAGCAAATTTTGCGTTTTAAATGCTATACACTCAATGAGTTGACTTGGATGGAAATTAAAACCGTGGAAAGAAATTTAAACAGATCGCCGCATCTTTCATTTCAAAAATGTCTCCATGCAATGACCATAAATTTAACTTTGGTGTGAGTTGACTTTCGTATGCAACAAAATTTTTTTAACATAATTTCACATATTTACCGCTGTCCCAAGTGTCGCTGTAAATACTAAATACATTCACCTAGACATTATTTTAGTTGATACTGACATCCATCATCATCCATGATATCTCAAACGACATGCAGATCATGCTAAAGCCGAATGATAACAAGTTAAACAACACGATAATTGTTGTTGAAATATTTCAATTGATCATGCTGATTATATTTGGTATATGAGTTATTTGACCGGGATTTAGCTGTGTTTAACTACAAAACTTTATTGACCAACACAGGCGACGCTATCTGTGAAGTATAGGCTAAGTTACATGATGTTAAGATCAAGTAGAAAGCCTTAAATTGTGGGAGAAAATTTAATAGCTAAAGCCTGCATTGAAACTCCACTCCACATAAATGTGTCGAGTGAGCAAAGCTTGAACAAATACAGGTTTATGTATAGGTCTAGCTATTTTGAAATGTATAGCTTCCAAGAATAAAGGTAGCAAAAAGCGTTTACGCATATGCATGTTAAGCAATGACTGGCCCCAATTAATAATCGGTTATTTGACTTTTTTCCTTTAGCATCGCAAAAAAATTGGCTTATGTTTGTACTTACAGACATGCATGAAGTATAATTAAACATCATCGAATGACATGAATAATATATATACCAAAATTTATTTCATTTCAATTCTGCATGCATGAACCTAATGTCATTCAAAATGCCATCGATCAATTTAAACATACTTAAAACATCAAGTGTTTGCATATTTGTTTTTTAACAAAAATAAGACACAGTATTCTGAATTTAAACGACGTTCTATCAAGGTTCTATACCGGAACTCATGGACTACTCCTATAATATTTATTCTTTACGAAATATAGTGCGCGTTCTGTTTTCAATACTATATATGCCCTACAACAACTGTTGTTGTCAAGAGAGTCGACTTATAGGTGATTATTAAACCAAAATTTAGCCCAAATCGGAAACAGTATAAATTTTAACGACGTTCCATTATGGTTTATGCATGGAACACTAAAGTTTTAAATAGTTGTGTCGTATTTGCTAATGTCCACTCTTATATATCTTAGAAAAGTTTATTACGCATGTAGTTAAAAAATTATTGACTTCATCAATGATTCGCAATTCATCTAGTGATCCACCCTAAAAGCATCACAAAAATAATTGTATATGTTTGTACTTACAAACATCAAGTGTATCCAACAGGATCAAACTAAAGATATAAATCTCTGCAATCAATCCTTCCGATATCAACGTGGCGAATGTATGCAATCGAATGACATGGTTTCGCTTGGCTTCATTCAAAATACCATCGATCAATTACTCGGTAAAAGAACACCGCTACGTTTTTTACACGCACTTATAGCTACGTACACGCACGTAAAAGTTTAAAGCCTAAGTTGTTATATAATTAATTTTATGGCAGAAAAAACATACCAAGTCTTAAATAGAATCAAACCATCTGCATCCAGTCAATCGTAGATTTTATAACTATCCTTTAAATTATTTTAAATTTTTACCTTTGAATACATGCAAATGAAGTGACAGCGGGAAAGCAGCCCTTAATTGTTTGCATAATTACTTTGTCTTCCGGGAAATTTCGATACAGCATATTTTCAATTTATAAGAAACGGTATTTTCTTCGGACGTGATTGCATCAATGAAGTGTTATAATTTTAAAACGAGGAAGAAGTAGCTATAAGCTTTCCGTTTTAATGCTAGCTACATGCAATTAAAGAGTTGACTTATATTGAAATCAAAACCGTGGGAGGAAATTTAAATGAATGGCTGCATATTTCATTTCACAAATATTATGAATGACACAGTTGGGGATATAAATCTAACGAGTGAGTTAATTTCGTATTTATCAAAATTTGTTTTAACTAACATATACTTTGACACACACACACACACACGCATATGTATATATGTGTGTGTGTGTCAAAGTATATACACACACACGCATTTATATATATATTGTGGATCTAGGAAAGGTTGTCCGAGAATATATACATATATACAAATAGTTGTGACATGTGACCACATATTTCTATCACGTGTCGCACCTAATTACGCATGCAAACGCATCGTCAAATCCATAGATGGCAAAGCGTACACAATGTGACAACAGGCTATTAGTGAAATATATTTTCATTTATTTTATCTGTGAGTTCGTTTGTCACCGAATGCTTTTGATGTAAAAACAGTGAAAACACTGTGATGAACAGTAATTGATATTTGTTGATGCTGGCATAAAAGTTTGGATATGAAACGTTTAATTCTTGCGTTCTAGACCGTTCGCATGTATAGCGTAATACAGAAATCACATTTAATATCAACGAACGCCTCGAACTTTTATGCTTCATAGTACGAAGTGGAAATGCAATCGTCATTTAAATTAAAGTTGCAGCACGCCGCACTAATACAATTGTGCATGCAGATATTGTTTGATAACACTGCTGTTTATTACTCTGTAATCTTTGTTGCATGACAAGTATAGTTTTCACCCATGGTTCTTCCGACAACGTTAAATATAATTAATTAATTTAAAAGAACCTTATTATATTAAACTGCTCCCAATTGTTTGTGCCTTTGTGATTTCAACTGAACTAATCACTCTCTTTATGTCAAAACGTTATGTCATTCCAACCGCAAAGATGATGGCAATTGAAATAAAACAAAAGAACCAATAAAAACCATATATGCACATTGCCGTAGTCTTAGGTAAATGACAGTAAGCAACCAGTGTTAACCAAGAGAGAGCTAACGTCTCACTAAAAATCTAAATTCGATTGCTATGACAGAAAAACAGGAAATCCCTGTGATTGAAGTCAGGGTACTTGACCCGAATAAAAAAAGCAAATTTATATTGCGAAGGGCAAGTAACTTCCCTATTGTGTCGAGTCTCGATAAGCCTAACCGATGAACAGCAGCACACACGCTTTGTATTTTCAATCGTCTACCAGTTGCGTTTTCTAATTGATCGGAGATTTCCTTACCTCTGGATGTCTGAGAATTATCTCACATATTGCCAGTTCCTCATGCTGGTAAAGTGTTGTGCTACAAAGAGGCCTGCCAAACTTACTGGGTGACGTAACGTTACCAGTATTAATAAACAGATTGAAAACGCGATCTACTGTCCTTGGCGAAACAAACAAATCGACAGCAACTCTGGTTGAAGACCTGTTATAAAATCATTTCTGCCACACAAGCCTCCATCTTATATCGTCTGAATACGGCTTAGGCTTTTTACAACAAAAATATCCCATCTAAACAATAGCCTTGAAGAACCTTGAAGCAATTTTGCAGCGTTAGCATGCGTAATTAGATATGACACGTGATGGAAATGTGTGGTCACATGTCACAACTATTTGTATATATAAGTATATATTTTCGGACAACCTTTCCTAGATCCACAAAAAAAAAAAAATATATATATATATATATATATCGCTTTTACAAGTGTCGCTGTAAGTGCATTAACCCAGACAGCATGAACACTGACCTATATTGAAATTATTTGTCCATATCTGTTTAAATATAACGAAAAAGCTACAGTATACTGTGGATATAACCTAACAAAAACCGCGATTAACTTAAAGGCAGCCCAATGACCCATACTTTTACTTTTTATTTGAAATAACAATGCACACTTTGATGAAATAGACACATTATGTCATTTATATTTACATGCTTATATATGTACTTAACGTAGGTCAAACCTCGGTCTTATCGCGGTTGAACCGAGGTCGATCAGACCGAGGAGGTGTGAAGGGGGTATTATTTTATATGTTTTGTTGACATTAGAGACTAAACTCTTTACCAGTATAATATTAACTTAGATGACGCAAGTCAGTCACGTGACTTTTAGGGCATGGATATATGTGTTGTAAAATATTATTGTTATAGTTTTCTGTAGGCTTTTAAATTACATGATCAAAAAGGGAACGAGTATCAAGCTTTATGAAATTACTCGCTGACAGACATTTTTTAAGATTTTTCGATTTGGTTATTATGTTGTTGTTCTCAGCCGTTCATAACATTTCATTTGGAAGGGATCAGCCACTGCGATGTTATTTTTTCCCTTCCGCTCGTCTGCAGTTTCTATCGGTCGACAGCAACCGAGCCGAGACCTAACCCGGCAACCGCTGTGTTAGGTTATTTCTGGGCAGTATTGTAGGACACGTTTAAAGATTTCTCCGACACGTCTTTCTCTCTTTTATGCATGAAATCAATATTCAGAATAATTTTGTTGGTTCAAACAAATCTAAAGCCTAATAAAAACGGCTTCAACAACGTACACACGGAAATTGTTGTAAATTCTTCAACTGATCAGGCGCCAGGCGGCTTAGGTATTTAATCGGCGAGATGTTCTGTTAATTGCCGCATTTATAAATACAAAACTCTCTTGTTTTATGCAGGCCACTCTGCCAATTGACAAATCGAAGCGATGCTATCTATGAAGTGATATAATTTACATTGAAGTAGCAAACTTTGCGTTTTAAATACTATATACACTAAAAGAGTTGATTTGGATGGAAATTAAAACCGTGGAATGAAATTTAAACAGATCGCCGCATGTTTCATTTCAAAAATGTTTCCAATGACCATAAATTTAACGTCCGAGTGAGTTGACTAACTTGACTTTCGTATGCAACAAAATTTTTTTTCAACATAGTTCCACACATATACATATATATCGCTTTCCCAAGTGTCGCTGTAAATACTAAATACATTCACCTAGACATTATTTTAGTTGATACTGACATTCATCATCATCCACGATATCTCAAACGACATGCAGATCATTCTAAAGCCGAATGATAACAAGTTAAACAACACGAAAATTGTTGTTGAAATACCTCAACTGATCATGCTGATATAGCTGTGTTTAACTACAAAACTTCATTGACCAACACAGGCGACGCTATCTGTGAAGTAGGCTAAGTTGCATGATTTTAAAATCAAGTAGAAAGCCTGGCTTATATGTTTGTACTTACAGACATCAAGTATAATTAAATATCATCGAATGACATGAATAATATATGTACCAAAATTTATTTCATTTCAATTCTGCATGAACCTAATGTCATTCAAAATACCAGGGATCAATTTAAACATACTTAAAACATCAAGTGTTTGTATATTTGTTTTTTAGCAAAAATAAGAGACATGCAGTATTCTGAATTGAAACGACGTTCTATCAAGTTTCTACCGGAACTCATAGTCTATTCCTATAATATTCATCCTTTCAGAAATATAGTGCGCGTTCTGTTTTCAATACTATATACGCCCTACAGCAACTGTTGTTGTCAAGAGAGTTGACTTATACATTGGTGATAATTAAACCAAAACTTAGCCCAAATCGGAAACAGTTTTGCATGGAAAACTAAAGTTTTAAATAGTTGTGTCGTATTTGCCGGAGCTCAGCTAATGTCCACTCTTATATATCTTACAAAAGTTTATTACGCAGTTGGCTAAAAAATGATTAACTTCATCAATGATTCGCAATTCAACTAGTGATCCACCCTAAAAGCATCACAAAAATAATTGTGTATGTTTCTACTTACAAACATCAAGTGTATCCAACAAGATCAAACTAAAGATATAAATCTCTGCAATCAATACTTCCGATATCAACCTGGCGAATGTATGCACTCGAATGACATGGTTTCAAAAATATACCAAGGTTAAATTATCTCAAACCTGCTTGCATGGCTTCATTAAAAATACCATCCATCAATTCAAGCATACCCGGAAAAACAACAATTATCGCAGCATGCTTTCCACCGCCACCGCCACATGCCAATGAAGTGACTGCGGGAAAGCAGCCCTTAATTAAATGTTTGCATAATTACTTTGTCTTCTGAGAAATTTCGATTCAGCATATTCTACATTTACACGCGACGTTACCGTCTCTATATAAGAAACGGTATTTTTTTTGCTAGCTCCGTTGATTGACCAACATGCAGAACGGACGTGATTCCATCTATAAAGTGTTATAATTTTAAAACCAGGAAGTAGTAAGCTTTCCGTTTTAATGCTACATGCAATTAAAGAGTTGACTTAGATTGAAATCAAAACCGTGGGAGAAAATTTAAATGAATGGCTGCATATTTCAAAATATTATGAATGACACAGTTGGGGATATAAATCTAACGAGTGAGTTAATTTCGTATTTATCAAAATTTGTTTTAATTAAGATATACTTTGACACGCACATGTATATATCACTGTTCCAAGTGTCGCTGTAAATGCATTCACCCAGACACCGTAGACACTGACCTATATTGAAATTATTTGTCCATACCTGTTTAAATATAACGAAAAATCTGCAGTATACTGTCCATATAGCCTAACAAAAACCGCGGTTAACCCGTAGGCAGCCAAATGGCGCATGGTTTTATTTTTTATTTGAAATAAAAATGCACGATTTCATGAAATAGACACATGATGTCAGTTATTTGCATGCTTATGTATATACTTGTCTATAATCTACATGCTAATATGCGTGCTTGACAATGTTCACGCAATGTAGGTATTATACTATAGTATACCTACATAACATTGCCTGAACATTGTCAGGCACGCATTAGTGTTAGCACGTAAATTATAGACAAGAACATAAGCATGTAAATAAATAACGTAATGTGCCTATTTTATCAGTGTGCATTTTTACTTCAAGTAAAAAATAAAACCATTCGCCATTGGGCTGTCTATATATATGTAAATTCTTCAACTGATCAGGCGTCTTAGGTATTTAATTGGCCGAGATGTTTTTTTAATTGCTGCATTTATAAATACAAAAGTTTCTTGTTTTATGCAGGCCACTCTGCCAATTGACGAATCGAAGCGATGCTATCTATGAATATAAGTGACATAATTTACATTGAAGTAGCAAATTTTGCGTTTTAAATGCTTTACACTCAAAGAGTTGACTTGGATGGAAATTAAAACCGTGGAAAGAAATTTAAACAGATCGCCGCATCTTTCATTTCAAAAATGTTTCCATGCAATGACCATAAATTTAACGTTGGTGTGAGTTGACTTTCGTATGCAAAAATTTTTTTTTTTTAACATAATTTCACATATTTACCGCTGTCCCAAGTGTCGCTGTAAATACTAATTACATTCACCTAGACATTATTTTAGTTGATACCACTGAACTGTATAACATGGAAGGTTACCTCCAGTATCTATAAGTGAAGCCAAAAATGGCGGCTTATAAAGCTTTCTTGGGCGTCATTCTCAGTCTCCCAAACGCGTTTTTTTCGCGCGGTCAACTAAGGCGCGGGAAATTTAAAATGCAAAGGCCTGCTACTTTCTTCAATCTTTTCTACGTACTGTTCCCAAGCAAAAATATATTAGGCGTTAGTGTAAAAAGCTGATAGGAAATTCAAAATGTGAAACAACTGCAAGTTGATAAAAATGCCACGTTATTGCGTGGTACCCCGCTGTAAAAGCAACGACCGAAAAAAGGAAAATAGGCCTGTATTTTTTCACAGGTAAATATAATTTTACTGTAAAATAAATTATGAAAGTATTGTATAAAACGCGAGCTTTATAGAATTTATAGTTGAAAAGCATCCCTAATGTATGCGCCTATGTTTAATTTTGTTTGGGGCCGGGGGCTTTAAATTTGTTTTGTTTTGGGGGCTTTAAATCAGTTTACAATAAAAGCGCGCGAATTTTTCTTGGGAAGAAAGAAAAATGGCGACTGTTGTTGTTATCGTAACTGACAAATATAATCAACATTTCGCCGTTTTATCATGACCCTATCATGGTTTAACTAAAGCAATTGTCTGTCATTTTTTCCCGTACTATTTTGTTCAGATACAGTTTGTAGTTGATCATTATTCTCAGACAGTAGCGTGTCAGCCCGACGATTTCGTCCGCGTATGCTAATTTTAACCGTGTTTCACAGAGTGTAAAAAAACAATGCATTTCTAAAGAATAAATAATGACAATGATTTGACATTTGCATAGCGGGACAAAATTGTCGGGCTGGCTACGCTACTGTTCTCAGAGCAAATAGAAACTTCTGTTTGACGAAGTCGTTTTTGTGAAATATAAAAATTTATAAAAATATAAACACAAAAAAACAACCTTTTGAATAATAAATTGCTTTATTTTTCTATTCATAATTATATATGATGGCCTTTAATATGTTAATTAAATCCAAGTATAAAAGTGTATGGTTCATTAATT